TTTGCTGTCAATGCACTGAGTGCTATATACTGTACAGTATGTTCATACAGTGTACAGTGTAGATTATNTCATAGATTTTCTTTTGGTTGGATTGCTCGGATACAGGTCTCTACTCTCAAGTGTACTGTACAGTATGTACTAACTAGGATCAATCACAGAATCATTCACATTCTACTATGCCGTATGGAATCGTTGACGTAAAATATTTTTAAAATTTTAGTGACAGAGTACTGCTCCGGTGACTTCTAAGAGAGTTCAAATAAGACGAACAAAAGTCCCTTATTACATGTAGTATTGGGAAAAAATACAAGTTAGTTGTGATTCCTGATTGTTGACTTTAAAGGCAGACAACACTGCTGTACGGGACTGTAAAGTGTACAGTATAGTACAGTACATACACTTGAACGGTACCGCACTGTACTGTACAGTACAGTACAGTACAGTGTAGAATAGAGTACAATATACTGTACTGTATGTTACAGTACAGTACTGTACACTGTACAGTATGTTACAGTACAGTACAGTAGCAGTATACTGAGCGTTAAAGTACAGTACGTACTGTACTTAGGTGATAACACGCATCAAAGTTGTTAGTGTATCATCTAGATTTCAGGTGCAACAGAAGTCTTAGCTGTATAGAAAATTCATATATCTACTGTGTCAATTTGGATAAACTGTATTTCTCTTCTTATTGTCGAGCAATCTCTGTTTGATTGCAGTCGGCGTGATATTTTTAGTCTTGTAGTGGTACTTTCCAGATGGGATTGGAATGGCTTCTTTCAGTAGTGCAGCTCTAGAGAAAAGGTTAACTGAATTATCGAACTCGCAACAGAGTGTACAAACTCTATCTCTATGGATGATGCATCATAGAAAACATTCAAAAGCTGCTGTTGAAGTCTGGCATCAAGAATTTCAGAAAGGTAGCGATAGTGGAGTAGTTTTAACGTTACTATTGTCTTAAAATTATAGAACACTGTATTGTACTGTACAATCCAGATGTAGCTAGCTCAAGACCTTTCTGTACGAGTAGAAATCAAATCCATTGCGGTGATTTGATACTGATCATTAAGGTATAACTTGCTGCACATTATCTTGTTAGCACGATAGCTCTAGATA